GTGAGTAGTTAAGTTACAGTAGCAGCAGGAACAAAACGTTCGTTGTTATAACGAGGAATGTAAGTAATGGTGTTACTCTCTATATTGGTTAAACAGACGTAAATTAAATAGCTTGAGGTCAGTTTTAATGTCTTATTACCAACTGTTCAAGTTTTCCACAATAATCTCTGTCAAATCGTGATTGAATATTCAGAAAGTTGACCCGAATGTATTTCTTACATTTCCGGGTACTCGACTCCGATTCGGGTACGTACATGCGGGTACTCGATTCCATTGTTTCCTACTCGTCCCAGCCCTACTGAATTCCTCATAAATTTTAGCATCTAATTACAACTGGTCTTTTTGGCACCAATACCAAGTGTCTAGATAAAGTGAAACGAAAGATACTGGGGGTGCTCGAAAGACAACACCTGTTTGAAATTTCAGACTTTACACTGTGTAGCATTTTCTCAAATTTTCAGACACCCATTTGCATGGAAAGAGCATAGTAGCAAGAAATGGAAAATTAAAATAGATACAATACAGGAATGTGATGTGTTTACACGAAACTGTCAAGTTTCTGTGCTGCGTGACGCCATGACTGATGCAAGTGTTAAAAGATGAAACGTAGGCATCATGCATGTACTTGTACAACATGTATTTTAGTTCCTATGATGTGCATAGATACAGTTTCGTATGTAACTCTTCGTCAGAATAATTTCCAATATCGAAGTCCAGTCCCAGATACACCCTATCCTTTCTTTGCTGAACTGGCATCATGAAAGCAGTGTTAGCCATGAACGCCATTTGCGAGTTAACCCCACTGTTAAAAAGTTAGCGGCGGTCCTTAGGTGTGTTAACTTAACGTCACGTAAACAGCCTGTTAAAAGTTAACAGAGTTTTGAACAACAAGATAACCCTCTGTTATTAGGTAACAGTCGGTTAAATGTACTTAACGGCTAGTTAAAAGATAACCGAGTTTTGAACAACCGGGCCCTGATAGACGACAGTGTGTCTCTGTTAATGGAACATTATGAAAAACCAAATGTTACTGCAGGGGTTCCTCAAGGATCTGCCCTTGGTTAATTTGTGTTCCTTGTATATATCAATGATTTACCTGGAAATTTACAAATATCACAATAATGTTGGCCGATGACACATCAATCGGTGTTGCGGGAAAATATGTAAAATCCATAGAAGCAACTCTCAACTATGATTTAGCCCAATTGAATAAATGGGCAGAAAAGTGGTGTAGTGTGTTCTAACGGTTATATCTAGCATACTTTAAGACATAGAGGGGGTGGTGGTGGTTCTAACGGTTATATCTCAAATACATGTAGAGGCGGGAGGCCTAACGAGTATGAACAACAATAAAAACTTTCATGCATTTATAACCCACATTTTCGAACCCTTTTATCGGTCTCTAAAAGGGAGCTGGCAATAGATTTTAATGAGCTTCGTCCTTCAAGCCTGAAAACCTTGTAATATGGTTGATTAATCCTTTGTCATTATTCAAAAAAAGTAGTGAGGTTGTGCTCTATTATTATAGATTTCTAAAATATATGGACACTATTGGGACGTTGGTAACTGTCATCAGACATTATTTGACGACATTTCTCATGGTTTGAATATAGCCGACTTTATAGAAGATAAATATCAGTTTACAACACAACTGCCTAAATCTTGGTATTTTCGGAACCAGAGAAGGAATATGCCGATATTTAGGTCGTTAACCTAGCATATTATGGTCACGAATATAATTTTCTATTTATTACCGAAGTCTTTAATTGCGGAAATTACGCGATAATCTACTTTCCATCAAAGGCAGGCTCCCCGCCATCGTTGTATTTAGAAGGCGGCTTCTTAGAAGCAACGTGACGTCATAACATTGTTCATGATGTCATGTCACCATGATAAAGTGATATTTTACCCGGTGCATATCGCATGAAAACAAATTATCCCCGATATGTTTGCCCTCGTAGGTTATAAGCATTGTTATGATCATTCGTTGAGGTTAATGCCACCCTTTGAATTCTTTGTTGTATTTTGAGCGGTGAAACTAAATAAATGATTTCTTTGGTCTACCCATAACAATTAAGGTGTCAACTTCCACTGTATACCTTACAGAAAGAAGTTTTGACTTTACTTTGATAACGAGCACATCTGATCGATTCCTTGAAGCAAATGATGCAATTCAATATCATTTCTACATTTTATTTTAAATGCATCAATCAAATACAACAAATGAGTAGACAGATTGACTGCTATGTGGCAAGGAATAACCAGGCGCCAGCGATTTATGATATTCTTAGCAAATGTAACTTAAAATTCCCTCTCATAAAAATACAATAATATATAGTAATATGATGAAGAAAATAATACGAACCAGGTTAAACTATGACAACGCAATATAAGAAAGTATGATCGAAACATAAATCATAATAAATCACATATGATTAAAACATTAAATTAACTTCAAATATGTCATTGCGTCAACATTGAAAATAATTCGAAAATGAATAAAAAGAAACGTACATTTCAAAGCGTAAACAAACAATATCCTGTTATTTTGGGATATGCTATGAAGAACTTCAAAATGTAATAGAAATAACATTAAATTATTGAAAGCTATTGCTCGTAAAATATGTCCTTGCGTCAACATCGAAAATAACTCCATAATGAAAAACAATTAACTTTAATTTTCGAAACATACACAAATAATCTCTGGCTTTTTTAAGACGTGTCACGAATAATTTCACAGCTGGTAGAATTAGCATGAAATTATAGAAACCATTTGCTAACAAAAACTTGAAAATTAGTAATCACAAAGCGTCACAAACATAGCTATTACCCCCGCAACATGTCAATATCTGAATGTCGCAATTATCCTCTGTTTGACCCTGAAAATTATGTAAACGTTACCGAAACTGTCATCTGATGCCTTGATTCAAAATGCGAACAAATTCCATCCATTAAGTTTGGAGATATCGCAAGAATACTCGCTGTGACCTTGAAAATAATCCGAAGGTCACTGAATTCGACTGGCGTTAGACGATACTCCCAACGCATCTTGGTACTACCTTTAAGCAAAACATATTAATTCTGTCTTGTATTTTCGCACTAAAAGGTTAGACATGTGCAAAACACTTTTCACTGTGAACTTAAAATGAGCACAAGTTTCCCAATCAATTGGTGTTGGGGGAATCCCGCCAATACACCTTGATATAAAATTGGATCAAAATCTATTAATACTTTCCTGAGTTCGCGGCTACCAAGCTTGGCATGTGCAAAACTGTTACACCTTCGCTGTGACCTTTAAAATGACTTCAAGGTCACTAAATTCAAGTGGTGTCGGTAAATCTCGTCAATAAACCTTGGTACCAAATTTGAACAAAATCCATCATTTCTTTCTCGAGTTCTTTCAGTAAACCGAAGGGGGAGTCATTTGAACAAGCGATTGTAGTTTTGAAATTGCCTTTTTGTGCAGTTTAATATCTACGTTTGATTCTAGCCAACTTCTACCAATCTCAAACATAGCATATTTTGTTTCCTGAAGTTTGTGATGCATTTTATTGCAGATTTTACGTTTTTTGGGAGTACCAAGCCAAGATACAAAGTCTCACAAAATGGGGATCGTGAGGCTGCAACATAGCAAAACCAATTTGCTTGAGGCTGACAGATAATATGTAGAAAAATAAAACATAAAAACAGCTGCATTTGTATTATATTCTAGGTGAGGCTGACTACTATTTGAACGTCCCTCGTAGTTATACCCGTTAGAACACCCACCCACCTCTCCGACTCTACATGCATCCACCCCCACTTTATATGTATACATATCAAAACCTCAAAAGATATTTGCGAAAAGACATGATACAGAGGACAGATTATGTCGATTATATATCAGGATGAATATAATTTTCGTCATTTAGCTAAGATTTGTCAATTCTTTCTTGGGTTATCGCGCTAACAATCTTTATGTTGGCAAAACCCTCAGATTTTTGCTGTGACCTTGAAAATTATCTCAAGGTCACTCCATTTCACTTGTGTCGGTGAATCTCGCCAATATACTTTGGTACCAAATTTGAACAAAATCCATCTATTCTTTCTTGAGTTATCGCCCTAACAAGCTTATTTGATGTATGAAATGCAACGAAAAACAAACACCCGCGTATTTACGAGTGATTAAAACTGTTATTACAATTTACGTAAATATTTATTACATTTTACCGCAACGAAAATTATTACAATTTACGTCAATTTTTATTACAATTTTCGTATTACAATTTACGTCAATTTTTATTACAATTTACGTTTTTATTACAATTTACGTCAAGTTTATTACAATTTGCTGCAAGTATTACAATTTGCGTTTTTATTACAATTTACGTCGTAACAGGCAGTCTACGCTATTCCTCGTGTAAAGCAGCTTCCAACTGGGCCAGGTTCTGTGCAGGAGGATCCCTTTTTTGCACTCGACGACCAATCATGTCCTGCATATGCTCCATAGGGGTTAAGATCGGGGCTTGTCAGACATGTCAGGGGGTGCTTAACTAAGTTCCATGTGTATATTAAGCGCACTGCCTTCTGAACGCATTAACCACCAGGCTACCCCACCGGCTCTCATCATATCAGATCGATGGTGATGATGTCAAATATACGAGAGTTTGGTCCAGGGACAATTATTAACAGAACACCGTCCAGCTGGAACCTTGATGAGTGAAGCATTAAACACGACACACAAAAAATCTCGAAACGTTATAAAACGTACACGTATGTGTGCAAGAAGAAGAAGAATGGCTGGTTCTCATGCGGCGTTACAATTGTGATGTGTATATTATACAGCTATAACACAAGCGATATTTTATACTACACTTTACAAATTCAGAATCAGTACTTGTGTTACCTTTGACCACTTTCTTAATGGCATGGTGTATTCATTATACAGGTACTCTTTAACATCGGAGTGGGACACATGTGAATCAACGTACGGGATGATCGTGGGCATTCAGTTCATCCTCATCCTGGCCTGGCTGCTCACACTAGCCAACTGCATCATGTCTGGTTTCCTGCGCAACAGACGCCCGGTACGCCACACCTGACTTCACATGCATACCAACTGTTTAATAGTACACGGTATTTGTCAGCATCTAGCATGATCAGACCTGCTGTTATTACATCCAACATTATCATACCTGTTATTGTTACATCCAACATTATCATACCTGTTATTACCACATCCAACATTATCATACCTGTTATTACCACATCCAATATTATCATACTTGTCATAACTACATCCAACATTATCATACCTGTCATTATTACATCCAACATTATCATACCTGTTATAACTACATCCAACATTATCATACCTGTAATTACCACATCCAACATTATCATACCTGTTATTACCACATCCAATATTATCATACTTGTCATAACTACATCCAACATTATCATACCTGTCATTGTTACATCCAACATTATCATACTTGTAATTATTACATCCAACATTATCATACCTGTTATTACTACATCCAACATTATCATACCTGTAATTATTACACCCAACATTATCATACCTGTAATTATTACATCCAACATTATCACACCTGTCATTACCACATCCAACATTATCACACCTGCTATAATTACATCCAACATTATTATATCTGTAATTACTATATCCAACATCATCATACCTGTAATTATTACATCCAACATTATCATACCTGTAATTATTACATCCAACATTATTATATCTGTAATTACTATATCCAACATCATCATACCTGTAATTATTACATCCAACATTATCATACCTGTAATTATTACATCCAACATTATCATACCTGTCATTACCACATCCAACATAATCATACTTGTCATTATTATATCCAACATTATCATACTTGTAATTATTACATCCAACATTATCATGCCTGCTATAATCCAACATTATCACACCTGTTTATTATTACAGAGCTAAAGAGTTAGCTCCCCTGGAACATACCCGTGTTCATGGGTTCCGCCAAAGAGGTAGTGAGTGAGTTTAGTTTTACGCCGCACTCAGCAATATTCCAGATATATGGCGGCGGTGTGTAAATAATCGAGTCTGGACCAGACAATCCAGTGGTCAACAGCATCAGCATCGATCTGCGACATTGGAAACCGATGACATGTGTCAACCAAGCCAGCGAGCCTGACCACCCAATCCCGTTAGTCGCCTCTTACGACAAGCATGGGCTGCTGAAGGTACATTCTGACCCGGACTTTCAAGAAGTACGAAAGAGTTAGCTCCCCTGGAACATACCCGTGTTTCGTTAAAGAGGTGCATATTATATATCTGTCTATATGTCCAAAGAAGCGTCAAACAACCAGATTTCCTCACAGTCAGCATAATTATGACATCAATCTCATTTTCTCAAATGTCCCCGATATTTCACGAACAGATCTGTCGGTCTCAAGAAGGGAGATTTACTTAGACTCGTTTAATAAGTGTATTTGCAAGAAAGCAACTTTATTTTGCAAGTATAAAAATGGGCCGCTTTTCGTGTAGAAATTTGCAACAATGAACTCAGGTGTTTATACTATTTACAGACCGCCGTCATATAGCTGGAGCATTTCTCAGTGAGAAGTTAAACAAACAAACAAGCAAACGAACAAACAAACAACAACTTTTTAAACAATTATTCATATATTTGGAAATGTATTGAAAGCTGTACTTTATTATTTTCTAGGTATATATAATAAACGCATATGCGACATAATGATATGGCAATAGTACGGACGTATATTTTAAGCCACTTACTGGTCCAACGTAATGCGTTTCTATCAGTAAAGCTGCGGATTTAGTGAGTGAGTATGGTTCATGGCGCCTTCAGCAATATTTCAGCAACATCACGAAAGGGGACAGTGAAAATCGGCTTTACATATTGTACCCATGAGGAGAATAAAGGATTTAAGTCATATTCAGTTATTCGCCCCTTTTAAGACTTTCCAAACAGTAGTTGTCAGAAACTACAGAGTTTTTGGATTTGAGTGAGTGAGTGAGCATGGTTTTACGCCGCTTTTAGCAATATTCCACAGTGGCGGACACCAGACACGTTTTCGGATTTGTGTGACCTGTACGATGGAGATTTTACATAATACATGAAGACACTAACAACTTAAAGCTACCAGTAACATATAATCTGGACGCTTTCAATAAATAATAATTGCGTTCCTTTTCTCATAATATTCCTTAACAGTTTTAGCAAGACTAACGTAACCAAAGGTTTGAAATACATATTTGACAGAACTTTTATACACTGTAATACACAATAAATTGATGTTTGTTCTTTAGTTATAGTTTGAATAAATGCTTCTCTAACCTTTTGTTTTTCTTGGTGAGGGTTGGGATGTTTGCTTGCAAAATGATGATTCCGGATTATATCAAACAAACTAAGTTTTACCAACCATTATCCTTTCAGGAGACGCCACGCATGACCATTCAACAAGTGCCCCAAATGGCCACTGTTGTACAAATGAGCAGCACCAGACACGTCTCGCCCCAGTACGTGACACCCCAGGGCACCTACCTGCCACCTAACGGAGCCAACATGACATACATGACACCCCAAGGAGGCTACGTGACATCCTCGGACCCACCTCTGCCACAATACCATGACCTGCCTACGGCCCAATACCATGACGCACCTCCGCCCCAATACCAAGACGAACCTCCGCCCCAATACCAAGACGAACCTCCGCCCCAATACCAAGACAAACCTCCGCCCGAATACCAAGACGAACCTCCGCCCCAATACCAAGACGAACCACCGCCCTAATACCACGGCAGAGGTCCGCAAAAACGTTGCGTGCTAGGCAGTGGGGAAGAATACCTTTTTGTGTAGCCGACTGTTTTTATACTAGGCCAATATGACATTTATAACCACAAACTAGCTGCTTTACTTGTTTTCACTCGTTTGTACATATTTTAACCCTCGTCCCACTAACTGGGGTCTCACAGGCCCAGGAGATGCTTTCAAAACATCCAGCTCTTTCCCAGTTACACATTCTTTTGTGAAATTCTAGGTATTCCTCGAACAACATCTCAGCTACCTGTACACTTTTTATGTTCATTTCAACAGCTGTAAAAAACAAGTTACTGAACACTGTTGGACGGCACCGTTATTACTGAACATGGGCCTCAGAGGCCCAGTCACCCCTCTTTTTTCTAGGTTTTGCCATACATATTATTGAACTGGACACTGAGTGGTAAGCAATCAATCAGATATTAGCCATAAGTCGTCCGGGTATAAAGGACGTTGTATTTAGCCAGTTTTTGGAAAACTTAAAAGAAGATGATGATGGTGGATGTATGTCAGAGTGTTCTGACAGCGGGTCGGACAGTGACTACGTTGCGGGCTCCAGATCTAAAACCAGTTCCTCAGATGAAATGGATGATGTTAGTGAGGAGAACAATGAAGTACTAGTACCTGTGCAGCTGGAACAAAGGGCGTACTTCACTGGAAAAGATGGAAGCAAGTGGTTCAAGGAACCACCTCCCACTGGTCGCACAAGGAGGCGGAACATCCTCCGTGGTCCACTTTACAAGGTTGTTAATGCCAGTCATGTGACCACTGAAGTTGAAGCTTTTAGCCTTTACATTCCAGATGTTATCGTACAACAAATTGTACATTTCACCAACATTGAAGGAAGACGGATGGCAAGAAAACAACCCTGGAGAGAGACTGGTGGCATTGAAATAAGCGCAATCATTGGCATTCTTTATACCTTTGGCCATCTGAAACACAATATGACAGACACTGATGTTTTGTGGTCACAAAAGTATGGCATACCTCTGGTCAGAGCGACAATGTCAAGATCAAGATTTCAAAACCTCATATCGGCATTGCGGTTTGACAATAGAGAAGATCGAGGGCTTCGTAAAGAGAAGGACAAGCTTGCAGCAATTCGAGACGTTTGGGATATCTTTGAGTCTGCTGTAGGCCACTACTACATACCAGGATCAAATCTTACGGTAGATGAGCAGCTGGTACCCTTCCGTGGGAGATGTGGATTCATCCAGTATATGCCAATGAAACCGGATAAATATGGACTGAAACTGTTTTGGCTTGTGGACTCAGAATCTTTCTTCCCACTGAAATGCATTCCATATCTTGGCAGAGAAGGGAATTCAAGACGTGTAGGCCTTGGACGTCAGATAACTCTCAGCCTTTGTGAACCATACTTTGGAACCAATCGCAATGTCACCGCGGACAACTACTTCAGTGACCATGAAGTTGCATGAGAGTTATTGTCCAATGGATTGACTCTTGTTGGAACTGTTAGGCACAACAGACGTTTCTTGCCACCTGAGTTCACTGCAAAGAAGGGAAGAAGTCGAAAAGCAAAATGTGTCACATTGTTGAGTTCGATGCATGATGGTCAGGTGGTGGAAAATTCTGAACGGAGAAAACCGGAAATAATTTCTACAACAAGACGAAAGGTGATGTTGACACGTTTGATCACATGGCTTACAAGTATACCGTCAAAAGAAAATCTAAAACATGGCCTCTTGTCATGTTCATGAACATGCTGAATGTTGCCGGGATTGCCGCCTACATATTCTGGACAACAAAGTTCCCTAGAACTGGAGCTTCCTCTAATGAGCTAAGAAGAAATTTTCTCCAGGCACTGGGTGAGGGATTAGTACTTCCTCAAATACAAAGAAGGATGAACACTCCACAGCTGCAACGTGGACTCCGTATTGATATGCAAAGTACAGTTAATCTTCCAGGACCCTCCACTGATGTAGATGACGAAGGAGTAAAACGTCGCCGTTGCTGCATCTGTAGCAGCAGCAAACACCGGAAGAGTAAAATCACTTGTCATATGTGTAAACGCAATGTCTGCAAGGAACACAGTACTCAGACGATCGTGTGTGAAGACTGCCTCTCTACTGATATGTAATCATGTTGTTATGCGTTCAGCAGAGATATTGTTGGTTAATTGACCATTATGTTAAGGTATTGAACAATGAAAAACAAAAGACCTTTAGATTCCAAGTTTATCAAAATATGTTTGTTACATGTAAGGGTTACTAGTAGGGCTTAGCCTTGCTGTTCTTGCACTGCTGGCATTTCTTTGGTCGAGCTCTCCACTGGTGGTCCAGCATCTGACGTAGAGTAAGGAAAAGAAAAGAACATTTAATTTGATGTGTTCAGAATATTTCTGTTTGATTTCACTGCCGTGTTATTTGTGATGGAGATGATAATCAACACTAAATACCACATGCGGGTCCTCATACTGGGAGTCATAAGCTCCAGCTCCTTCTTCTGGGAAGCGCTCTCGTGCCATGTTCAGGATAAACAAGTGTTGTTCCTGGAGCAGCAAGTTTTCCTCCAAACTGAAATTGAAAAACATGATGATTGCTTTCTGTTAATATTAAAATGTCCAAAGCAATATAACGTTTTTCGTCTTTTATGATAATTCTTTTTTAATGGATTAATCGCGAACAATGTTGGTTTTTTTGCGCCACTTTCAAGACTATTTCACTTTGTTACGGTAGTACTAGTTTTTTTCAGGTGGAAGTCCCAACACACCTGGAAACATATGTTGGTACTGCCAAACCCTATGGTGGCATTTTCACTACAGAGGCATTTTCACTACAGAAATGTTGATTTGAACCGTGTACCTTGTGGCCCTGTACCTTCACAGCGCCACAATCATCCCCGAAAACCGAAAGATACGTACTACAAGTTGTCCATATAATGCTCTGTAGACCTCTTTCCGAGAGTTCCCATGATGCTGCAAAACATGCAGGAGTCCTGCTGTAGCAGTGTAACTGAAAATACAAAGAAATACCCTTTTATGTGCATTTTACGTCTACTCATATCTCCAAAGGAGTTGAGAGCTTCATTAGAACAAACAACAAAATCGAACTACAAAAAATCTGTAAAATGTTTATAATAATGGTAAAAATAACTTCCTGGTTCCTGGAGCCAGTGTAATTATACATAATGTTGCCCTCGACGTTAGTGAAAATATATCCAAGACCAAATATAAAAAGGGGTGACTGGGCCTGATAGGCCCATGTACAGTAATATATGCTGTGGAATATGTTGGTGGGATGAGGGTTAATGTTTAAAATTAACATTATTTTTATATATGCCCTTTTTCTGATAAACCGTATTCTGCAATGTTTAGGGCCGGTTGGATAGACTAGTGTTTATCGTTTAAAGTCATTAACATTTTGTGCTTTGAAGTGCATTTAATTCATATTATGTCAACATATTCTCACAGTTTTCGTTCAGATAAAATATTGTCTAATGTTAGATATTTTAAGATACCGGCAAAGTGACAATGGAAGACAAATGGAAGGCACAAGCAGTGCAGGGCTCCATTTTTTTTCTTGCTTTAACCCCAGAGAACTTAATTACCCACTTCCTGAATTTTCTTTCTTTGCAAGTTTTGCATTCAAACGATTACACTGCTTCTTAAAGATAGTAAATGGTAATCTTGTATGGAAGGTGTCACTGCCAGTAATGGGAAATGGTTCCTTCATTTACTTTAACATGGGATTATCATCGTCCTAGCTTAGATACAAACGATTGTGTACTGGTTTCGGATCACGACACTTGCGACTTTGGAGACAGTTCTGGACTTTATTAGAACTTTTAAGAAACGTATAATGGTTGAGGTTCCATTGCAACTTTGTCATTTGCACTAAATGAATGGATGACATCACCTTAGGTATTGACATATTCATGGTGCTAGTCAAAAGCTCGAAGTCCGGGAAGTTTAGATTAATTCATTACAAAACATATTGTCTTAGATTTAAGAATATCACTTGGGAAAATGAATCTCAAAAAGGAACAACCTTTGGTTCTAACAGTCAGGAAAACAAAACTATCGTGACCTTAGCTGAAAACGGTGCAAGGTTCACTGTGATTCACATGATAAGTCTATCTTAAGCAACACAACAAACGTTTCCAAACGTGAAATTTGTCAATCATTCAGTACTTACTTGACAGTCAACATGCTGAAAAAAGGAAACAATGGTCGTCGTAGTCGTGGTCAGGCTTGGACAGATGATCAGACTAAAGCTTTGCTTAACTTATGGGCTGAGAGAAACATAGAAGAACAACTAGGTAATCCAAAAATCAACAAACATGCTATCTATGAAGAGATTTTGAGAGATCAGTTGCACAGTGCAAAATAGAAATGCACACTCTTAAGAGATGTTACAGACAATGCAAGGCAGCTATGAAAACTAGTGGAAAGGGACGAAATTTGTGTCGATATTATGATGAACTGGACAGAATACTTGGCTCTCGTCCCATAACATCACCACTGAAAGTTGTTGAGACTGTTCAAAGCAACACGTTGATGACGACAGCTCCCGTGAAGATGAAGTAAACATCAGTCGTATTGCTAATATATCTGATCATGATATGACAGAAACAGAAGATGTCTTGGAAACTGAGCCAGATCAATGTCAGGATGAACCAGAAGAGGATACTAACAGATCTGAGGAAAACGTTGTCAGTCAAACACTACAGCCCAAACAAAGTCAATTGGCTAAGAGGGGTTGCGATGTGAAACAGGATGGCCACAAGAAGAGACCCCGAAAGTCACGTCTAGAGATAGCTCTGTCGTCTGTGATGGACAGTTTAACATCAAGTAATTAGAAAAATGAAGAGAAGCTCTTGTTTTAGAACACCGCAAGCTTTATGTTGAAATGAAAAAGATGGAAATGGAGAAAATGAGGTTAGAGTCAGAAGAGCGTCTTAAGGGAGAGGAGCGTGATCATCAGTACAGAATGATGACCATGATTATGTCTCGTGTTGGAACAACACCCATTGTGGATCCAAATCCAGGGACATCACAGAGTCGCCAGCAACAGTGGCAAAGCTCCTACAGTCCGCCAGTCAGTGACGACAGCAACGTTTCCTATCAGAAAGCTGGTGAAACCTTTTATAATATGTGACATTCCGAAATGGATGATGTATGTACCTGTACAAGTTCACACATACATTTCATCTGCTGACGGTTCCAACTGTTTGAACATTTAATTTTACTTGCTTTCGTTTCTCGTAAGGAGTGACATTTAGTTAATGATTGTTTTCAAGATATCTTTAGTGAGAAATCACTTATCGTGAAACTTTTTATGTTCTTTAAAATGTTCTTTTTAGATTTTCTTTGATTATTCTGAGTTAAACTGTCACATTTCATCAAGCTGCAAAAACCGTTGGGGCAAATTTTACATCAACATCCAACCGTTTTCGCAAACGACGCCACCTTCCTTTCAAACGTCCAAATGCACACCTAGTCGTCATCCTGGCTCTGCTCAGACGATAATTAAAGTTCTTTTGGGACTGCGCCAGGTTCCCTCTGTCTGGGCAAGCCTCCATCAGCCAGACTTTCAAAGGATCAAAGGGGTCCCCAATAAGCACAATAAGTACCTCAGCAAACCCGTTGTTGGTGTGGAGAGTCTTGCTCCATTAAGGGAACAGTCGTCCTGAAACTCCCCTATGAAATAAATCAGAATTTGCCAAAACTCTGGCATCGTGCATCGTCCTGGCCATCCAATGCAAATGTCTGTAAAGATGTAACGATAGTCACATACCGCTTGCAGTATAAGGGAATACCATCCTTTCCGGTTGATGTAGTCTCCATGATCATGATGTAGTGCTATTATCGGAATGTGTGAACCATCGATGGCTCCTCCACAATTTGGGACTCTCCACCTTTCTTTGTAACCCTGAATTACATTTTTAGATTACCTCCAGTTGGAAATGTTATGTACACAAGTGACAAGTGATCCGTTATTGCATTACAAACATTGTGAACACACTCAAAAAGGGTTGATTTTCCAAGACCAAAAAGGTTGGAAACCGTTCTGTACTCGGACGAGGTAGCAAGCCATTATATAACTGCTCCAACCTGATGCTTGATCTCAATAGGTTCACACACTACGTTCTTTTTGCCAAGATAAGGAGCCAGCTACTCACAGATGAAGTTGAAAGTCTCCTCTTTGATTCTAAAATTTTCAACTAGCTGTGTATCATTAAAGGTATTCAAACACAATGTTCTGCCACAAGTATCTGCTTCTTTCTCGTCTATATAGGGTTCTCTCGCGGCTTAGTCTAACTTTTAATTGCAAGGATAAGATGTAGGGAAAATATCTACGTTGAGAAAGGACTGCTTCCATCCTGCTGTATAGTAGTTAAATAAAAGAATTTGCTTTGGAAATCAGTACCCTGTATGTGCATATGAACGCATAGCATATATACTATTTGCTTATGTGAGCAAATGTACTCATATGTATTTTTGCTTGTGTATGCAAACCTTGTTTATATGAACAGGGCCTTAAGTTAGTCTCACTTTTTACATTTTTATACTCTATACCATATGTGTTTTATGTACAAAATTGAGGTGAGACGTTAATAAATAATCTGTCTGTCTGCCTGTCTGTCTGTCTGTCTGTCAGTGTTACTGGCTCGGACCAAACATTTGTCTTGCAGTTGACTCGACATACTTAAAGGCACTATATCACACCACACTTCTCTCAAAATAAATAAGGCATTTCTCTCAATAATACTAACTATCAGCCCTCAGGGGAGCTAACATACAATTTGGTCAAAAAATAATTTAGATTACAATATTAAATTAGAAAGTTCGAATACTCTCGCGCCCTCTACCGGTCGAACATTATTTCAAGCGAACTCCATGGAGTTATGTAGACATAAGATAGAAATCTCAAATCTGGTCAACATTTTGGTTCAAAGTATATGTCAACAAAGTATAATTATATTAATGTCTTAGAAATGCGAAATAAAATGTTAGAACTACTACGTGTAGTAGCAGGGAAGTGGTCACCCATTGTTCTGGGGAGGTAAGGGGTAGAAATATTGACGAGAGGCGCTCGTGTGCTGTATTTCTATAGTCCGTATTAATACCAATTACACTGTTTCTCACTGTTTCAACTGATCGTGTAGGGTGTCTATAATCCACAGCAAGTAAGGTATTTCTGTAGTCTTTATCCAAGTCAATTACACTGTCTCACGGTTTCTGAAGATGTGACCCTAGAGCTAGAAACTATACTGGGAATACAACACATGGAAACAGGTCATGAACACAGTTTCCATTCAAACTGCAGAAGACCGAGATGGGCTCTTTGGGCACTGCCAGAACGCAGTTGGAAGGGGATTGTTGGAAGATTTACATGACGCTTCCTTCAGCTAACTCAATTTACCTTTATGTTTTTGTAAAATGATATGTATCTAACCCCCAAACGGTGATAGTTTTAACATGCCAAACAGAACATGACGTTTCGGTAATGAATGGTACCTCCTGTAGGATCTGGTTTTGCATATAAAACAATATATGGGTGATAATCTAGTTATTTTATAAATTTGAAGGCTTCAGCTATGATTTTACCTTGTCAGACATAATAAGGCCTTGGTCGTAACTTCTGTGGTACAGTTATCTCCCTTTACCACAAAAATGTTACAGTTATTGATATTTACTAGGTATTGACTTTGATGTGATCCTGTTGATTTTAATTTGTTATGAACCTCCTGCAATGCAATAAGCAAGGCGACGCTGGCTCTCTGCTAAGTGATGAGCTGTAAGAAATTGTTCAGTGGTATTAGGCAGCCCTGATGGACCTGATCAGGACCTGATGGATGGACCTGACGGACCTGATGAAGTGCTGTTCACAAAAAGTATTCCCCAGTCATTATGAATCACAAATATCGGGATCCAGGTCAGATTATTTCAACTGTGGAGACAAAATATTGGATAAGTATCATTTCACAAATTTCCATGAAAAGAGAATTTATTAAAGAATACAAATTCTGACTAGTCCAAGCTTCATGAGCAGTTACGTATCATGTGTATACTTCATGATGTGATGATATTTAAAGAAAATTGGTTTCCTTTACTGCTGGTTGGTAATTTTTATAATCATGAAAAGACTAAAATTAGCATATTTCTAATTTCTGTTGACTTTATTTTTTTACCCAGTGTTGTCAAATTGTTCTCATCAACAGTTGGGAATGATGTACTGAAACACCTCAGCAGCATTCTACATTTCTCTGTGTGCCTTGCTTGAGAAAAAAATGCCATACAAGGCCATAATTATGTTATTTTTACAATGAATCATGATAAGATCATTTTCTTATATTTTTATATTTTTTGTTGAACTAGCATCTGCCTTGTGATTTTGGAAATGAGATAAGTTGCCATGGAAAAAGAAGAACATTCTTTGCAATAAGTATAGAAATAAAACAAGTCTTAGGTAAATTCTTTTCTCGTCTACATATCTCTTATAACCAAAGACAGTTGTATTACAGGATACATATTAACTTTTTTTAGTCAGTTTTCAAAACAGATTCATATTTTGTGTCTTCAAAGTTTTTTCTGACCAGGATCCCTGGTTTGTGACTGAGATTAATCAAACACATATGTTGGCCAACAATATGATCTCTTGTCATCCTCAATACAACCCATGTTTATTGATTACACTTTTGTGTTACCTCATTCCATAACAGACCAGTCTGATATGCACAACATTGCTGTGAAGAACAGAGTCCTAAACACATGTGAGAACTCAACAGTGCTGGAAACAGGTTTCTGATTGTCCTATAGAGACACATCCATGTGAAGGAAGGAAACCAGGATTCAAGTATTAAACAGTTAAGATACGTGTCTAGGTTCTGTTTGAAACCTTTGGTTGAAGAGTTAGAATAAAGTATTTTTTCAAATTCATGGAGCACATATGAATGATTCAAAATTTTGATTGAACTTATGAATCATTATTTTCTTCAAGAAATAGATATTTTTTGATAATTAAATCTGAAACTGGTATGTTGTCAACATTACATTCTGTCAGTCATAGTTGACAACATTCGTAATGTTTAACCAGCTGGTTCAACTTGACTTACATGAATATTTCTTGTAAATTATATATTTCGAACCTCTAGTAAATGAAACATTTTAATGCCAGATGATAGGTACATGTTAATGTTCTAAGAAATAGACCCTATTTGGTGTAAATCGGTAACAATAATGGTACATTAACACTGGAAATATGACAAATTCTTTGAGATATAGTAAGGACTGAAGGTGCTGGTGACACAGTGTTGTGCTCAGCATGTCAGACTGGTCTTGCGTGTACTTCATGTAGTTCATATACACACATTTGACGGTATGCATAATTCCACTTCATGGGACATCCTAGCTGCATGTTTGCTCAATATTATGCAGATTTTACTCAGGTCATGTAAAGGTATTCTTCTTCTGCACACTGGGAGGATGCAAGGAGGTTGCACTGCATCAGTTGCTGATGCTGTCGCTGCTCCTGGTCCATTCCTCTGACACAAATCCAGACCACTGTCAGCCACCCTCTCCTAAAGCTGGCATCCTACTGTAAGCAATATGTGTCCCCAGTGGGCAAACATTTAATATTCGGTCACAAAAGCTGGAGACAGAGTTAACAATGCAGACATATCAGGGATGATGAATCAAGGAATACTAACTTATGCTCAGCGGGTATGTCAGAACTATAATAAAATGAAGCTTTGCAATATGTTGATGTATTTGCCTGGTATGAAATCTTATGGATTTCTGAAGTATAAAAGTAGGTTTCTCTGAAAGTTTATATTTCCTGCCAAATTTTTTGAATAATTTGTCAATTAGTGACTGGTAAGCCTGCAGCTTATAGAAGATAACATCTCAGTCTCATTACTACACCACTCAACTTTTGATAGGGATTGTGAAACTTGTCATTTTTCTTTAAACTTACACATGACATTGGAATCAGTTTTGTGTCATGAGGTGAGTATGGTTTTACGCCGCTTTTGGCAATATTCCAGCAATATCACGGCAGGGGACACCAGAAATGGGCTTCACAGGTTGTACCCACGTGGGGAATTGAACTCAGGCCCACCCCACCACCGCTTCTGTCATGGAGAGATTAAACGATATCCCTATCAAAAGTGCTGTAGTATATTTATCATTAACTAACCAGTTCAGTAATGTTGAACATATCTGGTTATTGGGGTGGAAATATTCTCTATTTATAACATATTAATATTTTTACAAGATGCTTTTCTCAATATTTCTTCACGGGGTCGTTGGGGTGGCCTAGTAGTTCAAGTGTTCGCTCGTCACATTGAAGACCCGTGTACAATGTGTGAAGTGCACATCAGGTGTCGCTGCCGTGATATTGCTGGAATATTGCTACAAACTAAAACTTCCCCTCTGTCTCAATATTTCTACATCCAACAGCAGGTCACTGTGTCTCAACAGATCAGCCAGATGCTTTTGAAAGTTGTTACCTGCTCAAGCATAAACACACAGACAGAGCCACCTCTCCGTTATGCCACCTGCTTGTGTCCTTCCTTGTGCAGCAATCGTGTAGGTTTTGCTTGTAGACAATGTTGATTGTAGTATGTACCCATCATTGTCCTCCTCTAACCGTCCCCTAGCATATACTCCCAATTATTTTTACGCCTTTTCCAGATCAGTGAGATACTGATAGCTATTCTTGATATATTTTTCAGAATGTAATTAGGTGTTTTTTGACGTGATAGAAAGATTTATGAAAATAGAACTTTACAGATGTAGTTTGAATAAATGTTTATTTACATAATATTTTCAAATTTTATCTTGTACCAAACTGATACTTTTTTCTCTATATCGCTAAATAGTATGATAATATTGTCTTCCCTTTCCTCACAGCCTTCTAAATATTGAGGGTGACAAATCTATTGGGTACTTTTGCATGACCTAGATGGGCATGAGTGGTTATCATATACACAACAGATATACACGTTTTACTTCCTTATCAGGGGAGCTTGAGTAGCCGAATGGCTCATGCATATACCTGTCTCGCTTAAGGATGGGTTTGATTCCGTACAAAGTGCACTCTTATGGCCATCCTCGTGTGCCCCTGATGGAAGTATAGATTATATATAATAGACAATCACCAGCTGTGTCTTTAGTGATAGATTGATATTTTATTATATGGGACCGTTTAAAATTTATGGCTAGTGGGGATGATGGTGATATTTATAGAGAAGCATGTACAATGTAAATGAACCCCCCTAAGATTTATGTACCAAAAAGTGACCTCCCCAAGCATGTCATGACTAAATCAATGATACCTCCACCCATAATTTTGAAGCATAATTTAAAAAATTATGTACAAAATTGATGACAAACCCCCAACCCCAACCCCAAACATCATCACCCCCTTCCATAAGTTATGAACAGTCCCTAAAGTGGAATGTTTGAAAGAATGTTTTGAAAAGATAACATTTAAGAGATTAAAGTTTGAATTTTGAATATTCTATTCTTTGTGGCAGATTTTGCTTTATGGAAACTACCATTTACCTTACTTTAGGTTGGGACAAGCATTCAGAGCTTCCATCACCATGAAACTGCTTGTATATCTGTTGTATTTATGCTAGCTGTCTCTTTCCCAGAAGGATAGCATGTGTATGTATGTGTATGTATACACGCATATGTCTTTTAAATTGGTTGAATGTGCACCCTTTATAATTTTTGTAGAATAAACAAATGCTATATACCGCTGATCAAGTGTCCTGTTTTCTTTGTCCTTGGTGTTGAAGTTTCTAGTGAAACAGTAAATTTGTTCTAAATTGCGCAGTGAAAGACTTGCTCTTTCCATTTTTCAATAGAACAAAGGTTATGTGAATAGTAATATATGTGTTATGTGAAGATTATGAGTATGAACTTATACATAACTTGTGAACAAGTATTTCAAAATTATTCATGAGAAGTCTAGAAGGTCTAAAGACATCCATGACATAAGGACACCAACTGCAGGCTGTCAGGGTAATGGCAGCACACAAGCTGGCCACCTGAGCAACAATTTTGGTATGCCCCTAGAATCAGCTCAACAAGTCATAGTTCACAGAAGGGACTCGCATTGCTTTAAAGTGGTGGTTTCGTCATGGCCTATCATCGTTGAATTCACTGAACTATACATGTATAACACTTGTTGAAGCATGAATATGTACTAAAAACATGAGGCCAGTGATACATATTCATTCAAGCTTGTTAAGCTTGTTATACACGTTTTCTTTGTGGTGCGTCATGTATGCATATATATTCCCCCCTTGTACTCCCTACCATTCATCTGATGAAGGAGCAACCATACACTCTGAAACGTGGTATTATTCACAATAAAGAAAGCGACATCCATAAATCTTGCTTTTCTTATGTATTCCACTTCTAATGCTCTTCAAAGATTTGAAACATTAACTTTATTTGAATTTAACAGAAATCACACCTAAATCTGGTCCGTTCAATGCATGTTCATACTTGGAACAACTGCAGTAGAGATGGCGGGGGTACATTGTGCATTCTATTATTCTTTACCGGTGGTAGGATATCAGGTTGGATGCGGCCATACAACTATGATAAACGTTAATCGTTGTTTCGATCTTCAGACTGTCTCTCGACTATCATAAAGACAACCTTTCCACATGGGCAGGCTTCCTCGCCTACAGCACAATATACACAAGTGAACTATTGTGATCTGCACAATCTCTAGTAAACCCGGATGTTAAGACAGTTTTTTTTTACCTGAACATTTAATACATATGAGTAATTTTGTGTCCTGAGAAATGTTTTCCTGTTATTTGACAGTCCCGGACATGTTGAATTTATGTGATGGTGTTCAGACAAACTGTATTGGAGACTGGTCTTAGGAATGAATTTGATCACACCGCCCCAGTTTTGTCATGTTCCAACAATAATGTAACATAATGTTCAAACTTATAACCAATGTGCGAAATAGTCTCCAAATGTTCCTGAAAGTTACTGGCCCACAAAATAATTCACTAGCCCGAAATTTGAATGTACAATCAAGCAAAAGATACCAACATAGATATAGATAAATAGAATACGACATTGTCGGCATGAAACGGGTTACATATTAAGCTGCTAATATGATGAACATTTTGATCAGGCCATAATCTTGCACAATTAAAAAGTGTATTTTTAACTAAACAAGTCGGAGAGTGATATGTTTACAAAATGACCCCATGACAAGTCACTAGATAGTCCGGTCAGTGACTTTGAGATTTACTGGCCCGATTGGATTTTTACTAGCCATGGGCTAGCGGGCCAGTGGCTATTTCGCACACTGCTTATAACTGATCAATTTTAAAAGTACAACTGTATAAATGTTTTCATTCCCTCCCTCTTATTGCCACCCCTTGCCAAGGAACCGGATCGGGTGGTTGATGCATGGCGTCGAATCCCTTGAGTGCATTAGATACTTAACCCGTGAAGATCCGGGTTAGAATTGATCTTCAGTAGCCCATGCCTGTGGTAAGAGGCGACTAACGGGATCGGGTGGAGGGCTCGCTGACTTGGTTGACACATATCCCAGTAGATTGATGTTCAAGCCTTTGATCACTGGATTATCTGGGCCAGACTCGAAAATTTACAGAGTGCCGCCATATAGCTTAAGCCTGGAATAAAGTTGAGTGCGCCGTAAAACTAAACTCACTCATATCCTTGAGTGCGGCGTTAAACAACATGTAAACAAACTGTTCCATGGCATTACATAATGAGTTGTCGTTCATGGTGTTAGTTTATATTGCACAATAGCTATAGAAATATTACGTCACCAGCGGTGACATGTTTCGGATAAAATATTCATCACGTGACATCTGCTCAGTCAAGTGGAACGAAATAGCGCAGTCCATAGCTGTGTTTTGAGAACTGGTTGTCACGAACACTGGGTAGCTGAGCTACTGCGACGTGGGACAGTGACACCATGGAGCAGAGGCAAAGATTGAACGTGGCCTACGGGGTCATTTCTGGAGTTGTTATTTTGTGTGGTAAGCGACTTTTAGAATATAGAAATACTTTCAGATCGTTCTGTTGTAACAGAGACCATACGCCGACATTTGGTTAACTCGATAAAGTACGTTCGAGAACAGCGTACATTCTTATTATCTGAAGGCTTAGCAAGTTCACCTCTCGTTAAAAGGGAGAGATATATAGATATTAAAGTTAATATTCGAGGCGGGGTTGGTGGGTGGGTAGGGTTGAAGGGGTGATGTGTCAAGAAAACATAGTGTCTCAATGTCTCACATTATCAAATGGCATCTCGCAAAGTGGAAAATAACCCCGTTATTGTACATAGTCAGTGACCTCCCTTGCCTCGAGCTAACGGCTTCATGCATGTTCCGGGTATTATGTCTGTTGCACTTCTATCTTCTCTTTACTAAGGGTTTCGTCTGTCTGTCTGTCGTTGTCTGTGCTGCACATTTATCATCCAAAACTGTGTTCCACATGATATATCGCTTGTGTGAGATCATATGATATCTCCTAGGAGATATCGTTTTGACAGTAGATTTTGTACAATGCCCCGACAATGCTATGACGTCATCAACTTGATGATATCACAATGCTATGACATCACTGCACTTATGTTTTCCAGGAATTATCTATGGTGCATTGACGGGTTCTGTCTCCACCATCAACTCGTCGTTCCCAGCATGGGTCTATTGCTTTGCGGTTAGTATTTCAAGACGATAAATATGTGCCTAAACCTTTTCATTTCCATAAAGAGGCTCTGCTAACAGTATTGATCATTGTCTGATTCCGGCTATACATATAACTGGTGCCATGTACTCGCGTATTTTCCGCTTCCATCACAAATACACGCAAATACACGGTGCAGTGTGCGAAATAGCTACTGGCCCACTTCCCCTTGGCTAGTAAAAATCCAGTCGGGCAAGTAAATCTCCACAGTCACTGGCCCGACTGCCTAGTGAATTTTCTCGGGGTCATTTTGTAAATATATCACTCTCTCCGACTTGTTAAGTTATAATACACTTTAAAATCATGCAAGATTATGGCCTGATAAAAATGAAAAATGTTCATCTTAATAGCAGCTTAATGATGAAACCCGTGTCATGCCGACAATATCTTATTCTCATCTATTTTTGTTTTCTTTTGCGTGGTTTCTACATTCACATTTCGGTCTAGTGAATTGTTGCCTAGTAACTAACTTTCAGGCATAGCTAGCCCTACTGGGTAGCAAAATTTGGAAACTATTTCGCACACTGAATACTCGTAAAGTGTCGACATAAAAAGTAAGCAGAAGTCGAAATAGGGGTAATTTTATTATTTCAATATATGTATTAATTTTCATTTTGGGGTAGAAATTCATACTGAGTAATACATTGAGTAATTGGGAAATTGAGGTCATTGATGGGTCGACTGTGGAAGATCCTCCTCACGTCTGCCATAACAGATTCCGTAGATCCGGGTTAGATGTGATCTTCAGGAATCCATGCTTGTCGTAAGAGGGGCCTAACAGGATCGGGTGGTCAGGCTTGCTGACTTGGTTGACACATGCCATCGAATCCCTGGTGCGTAGATCAATGCTCATGCTGTTGATCACTGGATTGTCTGGTCCAGATTCGATTATTTACAGACCGCTGCCATGTAGCTAGAATATTGCTGAGTGCGGCGTAAAACTAAACTCACTCACTCACTCACTGTCATAACAGTTTCGGAAAGCATGTTATGCCTTCACCTCAAATGTTGTGAAATGTACAACCCAAATACTGGAGATGCTGTGATGTTCATAACAGAAAACAACTAATTAATAGACAGGTGATGTCATCCTCCTATCATATTTCCGCCCTTCTAAATCAAATGGACCGCGGTAGTGGTTAGAGCGTCCGCCCGGGAGAGCGGAAGGTTGCGGGTTCGATTCCCGACCGCGTCATACCAAAAGACGTTAAAATATAGCTCTTGTTGGTCCCTGCCTGGCGCTCGGCATTAATGGGTACAACAGGGTCGGCTCGGAGTCAGTATAATGTGTCTGAGTGGGGTATTCATGCTTAACTGCGGCATGGTATCTCAGTGGGCTAGCACTATAAAACCAGCTTCAATCTGGGCTAGTACAAGCAGCCCAACATACACATGAGCGAAATATTGTTAAGTACGACGTTAAATCCCATTTCAACTCAACATCTAAATGAGTGGGAGGACATCAGGTATTTGACATTAGTTTGGAACAGATCATCGATATTTGTCAAATTCCTTTTCTTGACAAAGTCACCATCACCTGCATCATGGGGGCGGTTACCTTGCCTGCCAGACCTTTCGAGCATACAAATATATTGCTGCAAACGGAAAATAGAAGCCTCAGCCTGTATAGTTCTCCATTTCCTTGAAAAATATTAAACCTAACATTTTCTTTTCAGTATATAACTCCTGGGATTTGTGGGATCGTTGCAGCTGCGACCAAAAACACTTGTCTCGTAAGCGGAAGTTTTAGTTATATTTCATGCATACAACTGTTCATACATGCATACAACTGTTCATACATGCATACAACTGTTCATAAAACTGTTCATACATGCATACAACTGTTCATACATGCATAAGCTGTTACTGAATGTTTAGAACCGTTCGTGCATGCATAAACTGTTCAGATATGCGTATTACTTAGATATGCATGCAACTGATCAGACATGCATGCAGCTGTTCAGACAGGCATGCAACTATTCAGTTATGCATGCAGCAGTTCATGCAGATATAAATACCATGGTTCTGATATGAATACCACTGGTCAGATATGCTTGCATCTGTTCTGATATGAATACCATTGTTCAGATACGCATGCAACTGTTGAGATATGCATACAACTGTATAAATAACCCCCAAAAAGTAAATCTAAACTGCTTCTTTTTGTCACCAAATTGTCCAGGGGTTCATATTACACAATGTTTGCTTCAAGGAGCACGAATTTCCGAACCTACAAGGGATCGGGGGAATGTCTTTTGCCACTGGCATTTTTGGCACTATCACTAGCCGGTTAAATGGTCACTTTTTTTCCAACTCTGACTTGCCAAATAAACTGCAAGTATTTCATAAGAAAGTTCAGATAAATGTGATTGTATTCCAGTACATCACCCACCTCGTGTTGAGCTTGCTGACCCTTTGCCTGATGGCCTACGTCAGTTACACTGCTATTACACTGTTGTCTGTCTTCAGCACCATCGACCTCTGCCCTGACAGGTAGGACAGTGCCGTAAATACATAAATAAGTGTTTTTTTATCCATACACTGAAAGACCACAGTTTATATATACACAAAGAACTTAATTAATAACCCCCTGTAATTTAGCAATGACAGGTTTTCAACTTGTTCATAAAAATGATCCGTATGATCCTTTGACTCATGAAAAACGACAAAATGATTGGAATCCATGTTGCTTTTGTGATGATTATTGCTAATTTTATAAAACATTGATTTTCATACAAAACCATTTCTGGTTTGGCCCTGTGATGATTATTTTAGGGGGTGGTGGGTGTTTGGGGAGGTAGGAGGGTCTTCGATTTTGTACACATGTTCGGAGAGGGGGATCAATTGTGTACATAACAGTATATACAAATTACGCTTACAAAATATCGGAAGGGGAGGGGCTCATTGATTTTGTACATGACATGCAGGGAGGGTCACTTAACCCCCTAGTCATAAATTATGAACGGTCCCTTATTTCAATCGTGAGACATGTCAGGGGGTGCTTAACTAAGTTCTTTGTGTATATTAAGCATACTGCCTTCTGTCTAGACCACTTCGTGGTTGTCTTATGTGCCGCAAGTAGCAATTAACGGGGTTCCCTGACTTGCTTAAGGCATATCATCGTATCGATGAGAGAGTTTCACGCCGCTTTTAGCTATAATCCAGCAATATCACAGCGGGGGACACTAAAATGGGCTTTATGCATTGTACTCAAGTTGGGAATCGAACCCGGATTAAGGCGTGACGAGCGAACGCATTAACCACCAGGCTACCCCACCGCCCCTCGTCATATCAGATCGATGATGTCAAATATACGAGAGTTTGGTCCAGGGACAATTATTAACAGAACACCGTCCAGCTGCAACCTTGATGAGTGAAGTATTAAACATGGCAAACAAACAATCTCGAAACGTTTATAAACGCGTACACGTATGTGTGCAAGAAGAAGAATGGCTGGTTCTGATGCAGCATTACCATTGTAATGTGTATATTATACAGCTATAACACATGCGATATTTTATACTACACTTCACAAATTCAGAATCAGTACTTGTGTTACTTTTGACCACTTTCTTATTGGCATTGTGTATTCATTATACAGGTACTTTTTAACATCGGAGCGGGACACATGTGAATCAACGTACGGGACGATCGTGGGCATTCTGGTCATCCTCATCCTGGCCTGGCTGCTCACACTGGCCAATTGCATGATGTCTGGTATCCTTAGTAACAGACGCCCGGTACGTCACACCTGACTTCACATGCATACCAAGTGTTCAATAGTACACGCCATTACAACATCTAGCATTATCAAACCTGCTGTTAATACATCCAACATTATCATACCTGTTATTTTTACATCCAACATTATCATACCTGTCATAACTACATCCAAGAATATCACATCTGTCACTATTACATCCAACATTATCACACCTGTAATTATTCCATCCAACATTATCATATCTGTAATTATTACATCCAACATTATTATAACTGTAATTATTACATCCAACATTATCATACCTGTTATTATTCCATCAAACATTATCTGACCTGTAATTATTACATCCAGCAAAATCATAACTGTCACTATTACCTTTATCATACCGGTCATAATCACATTCAAAACTATCGTCCTGTCACTATCACAAACAACATCATCATGCATGTCATTATCCCATACCTCATTATCATCTTTGTCTTAATCAGTTCTGACAATGTGGTTTCTAACATTACCATATTATCCCGTCATATCACACCTGTCATAATTATAGCAGTTAATATCATCATACCCGGGAATCACCAAAACCTGTCATTATCATAACTGACAACATCATATCTCACATAACAGTATCTACCATTACACCTGTCATGTCAGTGCCTAGTTGTCTGATGTTGCACAGTGTACACATATTCAAGCTATTAGACTGGCTGATTGTGACCCCTGACCTCCAGGGAAACAGTAAAGGGTTAGCTCCTATGGAACATATCCGTGTTCATGGTTTTTGCCAAAGTGGTAAATGATATTAGAGTTAGCTCATGGGTTTCGTTAAAGAGGTGTCTGATATAAGTACGAAAGAGTTAGCTCCCCTGGAACATACCCGTGTTCATGGGTTCCGTTAAAGAGGTAAATGATATAAGTAAGAAAGAGTTACTTCCCCTGGAACATACCCGTTTTCATGGGTTCCGCCAAAGAGTAAATGTTATAAGTACGAACGAGTTAGCTCCCCTGGAACATACCCGTTTCATGGATTCCGTTAAAGAAGTAAATGCTATATATCTGGAATACTAGTCCAAGAAGCGTTAAACAACATAACCTCCTCGCTCAGTCAACATAATTATGACACCAGTCTCATTTTCTCAAATGTCACGAACAGATCTGTTGGTCTCAAGAAGGATGGTGGTGGAATTGGGTTTAACGTCGTGCTTGAGAATATTTCGCTCATATGACGACGTGCATGCGTGTGTATGTGTATGTGCGGCTGGTTGTACTAGCCCAGACTTAAAAAGCCCACTGAGATACCATGCCGCAGTGAAGCATGAATACCCCATGCCACTCAGACACATTATACTGACTCCGAGCCATATTTTAACGTCATTTGGTATGACGCGGTCGGGGATCGAACCCGCGACCTTCCGCACTCCGGGCTGACGCTCTAACCACTACACCACGGAGGCGGTCCGGTCTCAAGAAGGGAGTTTATTTTAAACATATTTACAAGGCCAATTTTGAACAACTTTGACTCATTTGATAGGTGTACTCGCAGGAAAGCGACTTGTTTTTTGCAAGTAAAAAAATGGGCCGCTTTTCGGGTGGAAATATGCATCAATGGATTCAGGTGTTTATATTAATTATTGACCGCCGCCATATAGCTGGGGCATTTATCCGTGAGAAGTTAAACAAACAAACAAGCAAACGAACAAACAAACAACAACTTTTTAAACAATTATTCACATATTTTGAAATGCATTGAAAGCTGTATTTCATTATTTTCTAGGTATATATAATAAACTCATATGCGTAATTATAAGTTGTTTACTGGTCTCGAGGGGGACATGGGCTGATGTACTCTCGATGTTTGTTTATGTTCCCTGAGGCCGAAGGCGTTTACAGTCATTAACATTTTGTGTTTTGTAGTGCCTTTAGTTCATATTATGTTAACACATTCTCACAGTTTCGTTCAGATATTATATTGGCTAATATAACATATTTTAAGATACAGGCAAAGTGACAATGGAAGACAAATATAATTCCAAGCAGCAATGTAGGGCTCCATGGTCTTTTCTTGCTTTAAAACCAGAGAACTTAATTAGCCACTTAGAACTTCTTGAATTTGTCTTTTTCTTCTTCGCAAGTTTTGCAATCAAACAATTACACCTGCTTCTTAAAATAGTAAATGGTCATCTTGTATGGAAGGTGTCACTTCCAGTAATGGGAAATGATTCCTTCATTTACTTTCACAAGGTATTATCATCGTCTTAGCTTAGATACAAACGGTGTACTGGTTTTGGATCATGACACTTGCGACTTTGGAAACAGTTCTGGACTTTATTAGAACTCTTTTGAAACGTATAATGGTTGAGGTTCCATTGCAACTTTGTCATTTGCACTAACTGAATGGATGACATCACTTCATGTTTTGACAGACTGATGATTGAATAATATGATCACTTTCAACGCGTTGTTCAGTCATATTTCACAAGGGAAGATCATTTTCAGGTTTAAAAGGGAAGTTCCCCAAAGCTCTATACCGGCATGTATTGCCGGTCCCAACGAATGACGGTTTAGAGGGCTTCCACTGTATTTATGGTGCTAGTCAAAATCTGGACGTACTGGAAGTCATGGCAGTTTGGATTAATTCATTACAAAGCATACTGTCTTTGATTTAAGACTATCACTTGGGAATATGAATCGCAAAACAGGGCAATCCTTTGTTCAAACAGTCAGGAAAACAGACAACATCGTGACCTTAGCTGAACAAAGGTGCAAGGTTCAATGTGATTCACATGATATGAATTCAAACGTAAGTCTATCTTAAGCAACACAACAAACGTTTCCAGTGATCTTTTTTCAGGAATATATGCCAAAATTACCTAGGACATCCTTTTAATTTACATCAGACCCCCGTCCATTGAACTGCAGCTTTCCTGCCATTTGACGTCGGCTTGAAATCAAACCAGACAATCAAGTGATCAATGAACCAGAAAACCCAGTTGCATAATTGGAATTACGACTGTTCAGAGATTCTGATACTTGTAAGTAAAGAAAGGCGTTTAAGAATTACAGAAGTATAATTTATCTATTTTTTTGTAATCTTAGTTTCACTTTTGACACTTTTATACTCTATACCATATGTATTTTGTGTAAAAAATTGAGGTGAGACTTTAATAAATAATCTGTCTGTATGTCTGTTTGTCTGTTTAACAACACACTGTGGGTCAGTTTTATTGGCTCGGACCAAACATTTGTCTTGCAGTTGACTCGGTATACTTAAAGGCACTATATCACACCACACTTCTTTAAAAAATAGATAATGCATTTCTATCAATAATACTATCAGCCCTTAGGGAAGCTAACATATAATTTGTTAAAGAAATAATTTATATTACAATATTAAATTAATAAGTTCGAATGAATTAATGCAACTTTGCATTAAATCGACTCTCGCACCCTCTACCGGTCGAACATTATTTCAAGCGAACTCCATAGAGTTATGTAGACATACGATAGAAATCTTAAATCTGGTAAAAATTTTGGTTCAAAGTATATGTCAACAAAGTATATATTAATGTCTCATAAATGCCTAATAAAATGTTAGAACTACTACGTGTAGTAGTAGGGAAGTGGTCAACCATTTTGTTCTGGGGAGGTAAGGAGTAGAAATATTGACGTGAGGCGCTCGTGTGCTGTATTTCTATAGTCCATATTAATATCCATTACACTGTTTCGCACTGTTTCAACTGATCGTGTAAGGTATGTATAATCCACAGCAAGTAACGTATTTCTGTAGTCTTTATCCAAGTCCATTACACTGTCTCACGGTTTCTGAAGATGTGATACTAGAGCTAGAAACTATATTGGAAATATAACACATGGAAACAGGTCACCTGTTCAGTTTTCATTCAAACTGCGGAAGACCGAGATGGGCTCTTTGGGCACTGCAAGAAAGCAGTTGGAAGGGGATTGTTGGAAGATTTACATGGCGCTTCCTTCAGATAACTCAATTTACCTTTATGCTTTTTTTAAATGATATGTAACTAACCACCAAACAGTGATACGTTTAACATGCCAACGGAACAAAAAATGATCAACAATTGTTGAGATACATGCTCTGTGGAGAACCGATGAAGACTAAGAACTGTAGTGAGCAAAATTGAAAATTACATGTCTCTCCTTTGTGTTTGAAGTTATATTACTGCAAATGGTACGTTTTGTCGATACTGATAGCTTACATTCACAGGCAAATTGTGATCGAAATCGGACGGCTGGTTTCAGAGTTATAGGTGTTAGTGTCCATGGCCTCGTTCCACAAAACGATCGTAGAGCTAGGATGATCGTAACTCCCATACTTTAACATAGATTTACGACCTTTCGAAAGTAGTTTTTTTTTCAGGACCTCCCTGGTAAGTTTGCTTTTAAAAATATCGTGAAGAAGACTTGGGAAGTTTTTGAACAGAACTTTGGCCCATACGTAGCACTCGATATGGCGGCCATCGAAGGCACGTTTAGGCACTGTTTGTGCAGAGTAGTTCCTGGACACAAAGTATGGAAATTGGGAAAGCTCTGGAGATGATAGTTCGAACTCAGCACATTTTGGTGCAAAGAACTCAGAAAACTGTTGAGGAATAGGAATAAATATTTTAACACAAAACAGCTGCCAAACGATGCCTTTTAGCCTATTGGGTCCTCCACTTGAAATTGAAGGAAATCTTAATCCGCCATTGCACCAGAAATTTGGAATCATTGGACATGATTTTTCGGAAATTATTGCTTTTAAAATTTAAATTTTTGAAATTACTTTTGAATAATCTGCCCTTTGCTATTGAATAAAGAAGTTGTCATCCATAGATTATCATATGATTTCTTATGATTTCCGGCTTGCTATTGTCGTAACATTGCTGTTTACACGAATCAACGAGAATATGTCAACATAGATTGTCTTCATAAATATACATCGTTCATGTTCTGTTGGTGAGGTAAAAGTATGTGTAAACTGAATTAGAATTATTTGCAAACTAGTAGTTCAGATTGCTAGTGAACCCAGGTCGTGTATGTGACATAGTTTGCCATGGAGATTGAGCAATGTACACGATGTTTCAAGACACCTGATATGTAATCCTTCCCGACTGACAGGTTTCTTGATGGGAAGTGGTTTTACTGGTTTTAGCCCTGTTAAGAGGAGATCTGTACATGGTCTGACACCTGCCTATAAAGTAAACGTTTATTCAACAACTTACCACACAAATTGCACATAGTCTCTTTAATCGAATAAACAATGACATAAGAGAATATTGGTTAGTCACTTTTCTCTAACAGGTGGGAGATAACAGAGCGGCGTAAAAGAACCTCCTTACTACCGTACCGTACCGTACCCTACCAAACCGTACCGTACCGTACCCTACCCTGCCCTGCCCTGCCCTGCTCTGCCGCCGTCTAAATGGCAAAATATTGATACTATTGCCGGGAGAGCCACATTCATACGATCACTCAACCATCCCCGTTGCCGGTTGAGCCACACAATTTTCAATTCTGTTTTTCGTTAATGTGGCTTCCCCGGGCTATAACCTAAGTTTCAGCTTGGGATTCAACACGAAACAATTTGGCGTTGCAAATTACACACACTGCTCATGTTAGTGTCCTGTCACTTGAGGTTATCATCGGTAAACAAATTGAAACAGGTGGCAACCGAAATAGCATTTACTTCTCAAACGCCCTTTTAAAATTCTTGGAGTGGGGAGCTGGGAGCTGTCGAAAAATATGCATTGACCCAGTGAAGTATTGTCAAAGTAATTTTACTTCAGAATCTGAAAATTATATCCTGCATCTGTCATAAAATGTACGCTGTTGTAATTGTGTTTTTTGTACAAATATTGAGGTTCAGTTTTGATTTTGATTTTACAGGTGTATGAGTGAGTGAGTTTTAGTTTTAGCAATATTCCAGCAATATCACGGCGGGGGACACCAGTAGTGAGCTTCACACATTTTGACCACTTGGGAAATTGAACCCGGGTCTTCAGCGTGACGAGCTAACGTCTTAACCACTAGGCTACCCCACCGCCCCTACAGGTGTGTGAAAGACTACGTAGCTACGCGCCAAACAAAATTTGCAGGTACCCTTCTCTACCCTCCCCTCCACTTATGAAGGTCTGTCTCTATAGTTGTGAAAAGGGAAGCGTTGTAGTGAATTAATATTTAAAGTCACATCGGCAGGATGTCAGCTATATCGTGACTAAGAAAGTTGTAAAATAAATGTTTAAAAATAAAGTTAAATATTATACTTACCTGTCTGCAAAGGGCAGTGAAACAACTAGATTATCACAGAAATAAATTTAAACTGAAGGTAGATCACCATACTAGGGACCATGGGGACTTACAGTACTTTTTGCTACCTGCATGGGCCCTAACTGGATAGTGAGTGAATATTGCAAGTTAACATACCTACTAACAGACATGCCGATTGAAATTGGTCGCGGGCTTGTTGAACATCCGACATTGCATAATAGACGTCATAGTGAGTAATGACCGATAACAGAACTGGAGCAGCTGCTAGGTATTCCCGTGTTGCAATAAGGCAAATCGCGGCTCCCTGACCCAGTCATCTCCACCCAACCTACCCACCGCCCACTGAGATACACGTCAGTGTGTACCAGCCATCGGGTGTTGTCACTACATTCTTCTGACACGGGGGCGGTGGGGTAGCCTAGTGGTTAAAGCATTCGCTCGTCACGCTGAAGACCCGGGTTCGATTCCCCACATGGGTATAATGTTTGAAGCCAATTTCTGGTGTCCCCCACCGTGGTATTGCTGGAATATTGCTGAAACCAGCATAAAACTAAACTCACTCACTTTACTGACACTCGTTCAATTCACTTTATTTAAATAATTAGGCCACGGGTCAATATTACACAAACGTTGAGTTGTGAATTATCATGTAATGAATTGCGTTAGGCCACGTTTATAGAAGTTTTTAACATATTTAATCTGTTGAAAATGGTATTATAATTTGCCCTTTTTCTCTGATTTTATTTTAAACATATCCATATTTTTTTCTTAATTCTATCAAAATTTGCCTAAATTTTCTTTCAACTCTTGTATGATCATGAGATTGTAGTATGGAATATTTTAAACAAATCAAGAAATGATAAATCAATGATTTATGAAGAATAGTTTTCACTTCAAGACATGTTTGTGAAAAATATTGGAATGGTTAATGTGATGTAGTCCTTGTGTGGAACGTCTCAGTTACCGAACCTATAGTATTAGTAGCCATAAACATTGAAAGACACAATAGTTACACATATTTCACAGAAAATCTAAAACATATACACCCAGATGATAGTACCACCTAAATACATGTAATTTCCACTTTACACATGCTTAACCACCAGTATGAAACCTAGTCACTACTATACAAAAGCACTGTTTTCCAATGCTTGTATATGATAAATATGACACCATTCACAATATTACCCACATATATACTATTTTCTGCTCACCTGCGTTATAACAATTTTCCAATGTAAGCCTGGTAGGTGCAGCTATTCATTATGACATGTTATATCTACTTGTGATGTTATAAAGTAGAACCAATGATCCTTTATTTTTGTGATATTTACCTAGTGCTGACCAATTTGCTCCTGTGTATATAATATACAAGATCTACTATGGTGTGCTGGCTTTATAGCGAGAGTGATTTGTACTTCACATATGACAGGAAAGTGGGACTCAGGAACCGGATTTTAAATTACAATAACTAACGTAGAAATACTCTGTCAGATATGTTCATATCTCTCATATTATCATTTGAGAAATTGCACAAATGGTTTGTGGAGACGTTCTTGAAGAAAAATCTTCTTGTCCATACATTTTTTCTCTGTCCAATTAGGGCCACGTTTAATCCTCTTCATGTTTTTCAGTAATGTCATTTTATTGATGGTTATGTGATGATGATAACAGAACATTTGAAATAATACAGCTTCGATGTATTTAGAAATTAATCATGTTAGACTTTGATTTGAAAAGGAGAGTTAAGTGAAAATGCTTTTTGAGCTGTTGCCTTTCTTCTACATGTGTTTTCTTATGAGAAATATCTATATAGATCACTAATCTGTATTGTGAAATTCCCTGATAATGTTTTGCACAAATCTGTGAGTAATTTTCTCTTTGCAAGAGGGACCTTCTATCTTATCTCGTAGTAACACGATCGGAGTGAGAGAACATAATACACTGTCATTCAAATATTACACAACTTAAGTATTGTACCAGTTAATATTTACGGTTGTATCTAGTGAAATGTGCAGTTTTCTAACCTTTTCAGAGCACATAGATTTGAAATATGGATGTAACTTAATTAACGTTGACTGTTTACACTTTTCATCTGATTATCGGTACTCGGAGTTAGCTCCCTTAGACTATGATCGCATGTGTCGTTGCCGACGTGTTTCATGTAAGAACTAGGGGTGTAATTGTCTATATGATGCTTATGGAATGTACACAATACAAGGACTATACCTTTCTGTATTTGTCATTTGAAAATTCTTTTGTAGTATCTAATGTACGTGTCACCTAACATGATCTGTATACTGTATTTGCTGTAAATAAGCCCCTGCTCCTCTTCTAAACACCTAGAGCAACCTGTAAAATGTTCTGTATGTCATTTTTATGACACTAAATTTACTAATAACAGCAGCTGAAAATTTACATAACTGCCTGTATTATGTGTACGTTAGAGATTTTCATTAATAGAAAAGAGCTGATTGGTAGGGTCACATGGTTGCTTAGAAACTTTTATCAATGTTTTTATTTTCATCAATGTTTGAAATAAAGCTGGCTACTACTGCTGGATGACTAACAACAAATTCTGTTCACCCAGCAGTAAATGGGTACCCGGTGGGTTAAGTAATATGACTGTCAACCTTCTAGCTTGGGTTAACCGGTGTAATAACGTGTTAGCACCTTGAGCATGCACAAGTGTGTGAAAACACAAGGGGCTTTATAAATAGACATTATTATTATTATCATTTAAACTGCAGTTTTAATGAGTGTTCACACTGACAATATTCTAAGTAATTGAAGTGTTTTTTTTACAGCAAATGTGGTATTCAAGATTATTAAAAGTGACACTATCCATCCATAGAAGTAAGAAATTTTATACTGCTTTGTATATGGTAACAATAGTAATTTCCTTTTGAATTAGCATCAGATTTTGGACATATCATATACTATACAGTTCAAGGTTCATGACAACGTCCTGAATAGTAGAAAATAAATTTAGAATCAGTATGTAGTTAAGGTCTGTGAAATCTGTATGGTACTACATAATGTATGGTAAAATCAGTATTGTCATAGGAATTCTACCTTTTCTCATGTTTATTGTTACACCCCTAGCCGGAACCAACAGAAGTGAAGTCAACACGCTACAAGTATTGTCTCAAAAGTTTCTTAAGCATGCTATTGGCGTCCGTAAATTATATGTAATTGTAAAATGTCAGAAAATCCCCAAAATGACAAATATTACGGTCTTGCCGCTCGGCTTGGAGTTTAAAAGGCTCAAGCACACCAGTTAGAGAGATAATGTGAAACAAAGTGAGCTTATTTGTGGGTAGGATTCAGATGCTGAACCATAATGAACTGAACATGCTGTACACTGTATATTGTGAGGTTTAGAATTGGCTGTGGTTGGTGATCCTGCCGGTGAATTAATTCAATGTTTAAATAGAGAGAAGTGTCAGTAGGTATTTCAGTTCCTAGTGAAACAGTTTAAAAATCAGGTTTTTGGGTTTGGATATTTATGGTTATAAGCACATATATTTATCATCAGTATAAGTGTATGACTGTTGAAGTTCTAAGGACTTTTAAGATAAATGTCCCAGCAGCGTAGTCAATTGCAAATACTTTCATCATGCATATCAATCACAACTTATATGTATCAGCATTTTGTAGGATCTGGTTTTGCATATAAAACAATATATGGGTGATAATCTAGTTATTTAAAAAATTGAATGCTTCAGCTATGATTTTACCTTGTCAGACATAATAGTAAATGAAAAATGTTAATGCCAGATGATAGATAACATCTTGATTTTCTGAAAAACTTAACCCATTTGGAAATAATGATACCTTTACACTGGAAGTATGATGACAAATTCGTAGAGATATAGTAATGACTGAAGGTGCTGGTGACACTGTGTTGTGCTCAGCATGTCAGACTGGTCTTTCGTGTTCTTCATGTAGTTCATATACACACATTTGACGGTATGCATAATTCCACTTCATGGGACATCCT